CTCTTCTGACATGGGAAGCCGAACTGTAAAGCGGATTAGTGATGTTTCAAAGCTTCGTATTTATCAGTATCCACAGGTTTGTCTTCTCATGTGTTCAGAGAATTTATGCCTTCCTTACTCATGCTTTTTCATGGGAAGGATTTCTTGGAATTATCTATGTATTAATCTTGCGGGTTAGCCATGGTTTTATTCTTGAATTAGGATGATAAAGGGTGTCCACTTTGCTGATAATTTATCTCCAACTGTTTGGTCATATTCTGATTTCCCTCTTCCTTTCAGGATGCTGGTCCAATGGCTCATCCTGTGCGGCCACATTCTTACATTAAGGTTTGGAGTCAAATATATGCCGTTAGTTTAATTTTTTTCTTTCGTGATTATTGTCCTGGAATGCTTTATTAAATTTTTCCATATTCTATTTCTCAGATGGACAACTTTTACACAGGCAAGTATTTGCTTTATGTGATCCCTAGGGACGCAGTACATTTCTTCCTCTAATATTTCCTTTTCTCTTTGTTTATATCCTTTGACTTCTCTGACTCTGCTTCTTTTGCAATCATTTTGGATTAAAACTTGGGGATTCACTATCTCATGACATGCAGTCACGGTTGGTTAACATCTTTTTGCTTATTACACTTCATACTTTGATTCTCTTTGTATGATTTCTAATACTCTTTTTTGGTTGTTCTGATGGTCTGCAGGTGTATGAAAAGGTTTGGCTCTTTTATCTGGACTTAGAAATTTTTTGGTGCATCAAGTAGTCATATTTCATGTTCGATAACCCGGGATCAAACTAAACTTTCAGGGAGCTGAAGTTGTGAGGATGTACAAGACCTTGCTGGGAAGTCAAGGTTTCAGGAAGGTAAGGTTGAGTGTGATCATTGAGTCATAGGATAACCTAAAATGGATTGTTGAGCACAGTTACGTCTGTCTTCGTCGTGACAAGACTTCATCCCAAGGTTGATACTACACTCTATCTTCTGTTTCAGGGTATGGATCTGTACTTTCAGAGACACGATGGTCAGGCTGTCACCTGTGAAGATTTCTTTGCCGCAATGAGGGATGCAAATGATGCAGAATTATCCAATTTCTTGCTATGGTATATTGCATGTTGCCCCGACGTCTGTACTAGTTTGGTTTCATGTCAATAACTACATGACCGTATTATAGGTACTCGCAAGCCGGGACCCCCATGGTAAAAGTGACTTCGTCCTACAATGCTGAAGCTCATACTTTCTCCTTGAAATTTTGGTATGCATGCAAACAATGAAGTATTGGTCTGGTCGTATCATCTTTTCTTTTCCAGCTCAGTTAGTGTGTTGCCTTGTGACTCTTGTTATGTGCAGCCAAGAGGTACTGCCGACTCCAGGGCAGCCAGTTAAAGAGCCGATGTTCATTCCATTGTCGGTTGGTCTACTGGACTCGACTGGCAAGGACATGCCGTTGTCCTCAGTATATCATGATGGGACATTGCAATCTGTAGCAAAAGATGGTCAACCAGTCTACTCTACAGTTCTTCGTGTTACCAAGGTCTGTTGATATTCTCTCACGATCAAATATCTGTCACTTTTTTTCACTATTCATTAATTCAGATATAACATCGTCCACGGTTTGATAATGCAAAGCAGAAAGAAGAAGAATTTGTGTTTGCTGATATAAATGAGAGGCCAATCCCATCTCTCTTGCGGGGATTCAGTGCTCCTATTCGCCTTGAATCTGATCTCGCCGACAGTGACCTCTTTTTCCTCCTTGCTCACGATTCGGATGAGTTCAACCGGTTCGTCCTAGCGAGCACACGATTTTTTGATTTCTTCATATACAGATCTTTTGCATTACCAATTGATGGAGGAGCTTTACCACTTTTATTCCTGTGTTAGTTGGGAAGCCGGGCAAGTGCTGGCCAGGAAGCTGATGCTTACCTTGGTTGCTGATTTCCAACAAAACAAACCATTGGTTTTGAACCCCAAGTTCATTCATGGACTCGGAAGCATCCTCCGTGATTCAAGTCTGGACAAAGTAGGGTCTCATTCCTACTCAAACATGCTGATTTAGTGATTCTTCTTTATCTTATCTTGGCCTCCTGAGAGAACAAGATTAATGCTTAGAAGATTCTTGACATTCTCGGTAGGAATTTATTGCGAAGGCAATAACTCTTCCTGGTGAGGGGGAGGTAATGGACATGATGGATGTTGCAGATCCTGATGCAGTTCATGCTGTTAGAGTATTTATCAGGAAGCAGATAGCTCAGGAGTTGAAGGGTGACTTAATAAGCACGGTAAACATTCTGGCACTTCTCTTTTGTACATGAAAAAGGTGTAATGTGTCTAATGAAATTATTGAACTTGCTCCTCTTTAACCTCCAGGTCGAAAAGAATAGGAGCTCAGATGGGTATGTGTTTAACCATGACAACATGGCGAGGAGGGCTCTGAAGAACACCGCCCTTTGTATGTGTTTAGCATTTTAATTTCATGTGTTTTGGATTCTAGTATAAGAAAGCTACAGTTAACTGACCAGTTTGCGTCTTTCTTTTTTCAAAATTATAAACCAGCATATCTGGCTGCACTGGATGATCCAGAGTGTACTGCGCTTGCAATGCATGAGTACAAAACTGCCACAAATCTGACTGAACAATTTGCATCTTTGGCGGCAATCGCCCTGAATACTTCTAAAACACGTGAGGAGGTTCTAGCTGACTTCTACAGCAAGTGGGAGCATGACTTCTTGGTAATATCTTCTTATCCATTCTCGAATTCCTTGGTTAAGAATGTGCCTGTGACTCTCTTTTTGAGAGAGAGAATGAATGGACATTGTTCGAATAAGAAGCGTGTCCAGATTTATTTATGAGGAAAATACAACTTCAGTGTGTCCTTATGTGGAAAAACCTTGGGTTTGTAGTGGATTATATTTTAATTCAGCTATTTACAGCAGGATAGCGTTTATATGCTTTTATTTTGCGAAATTTTCATCCATTTTAGCATGTTTTGGATTTATTTAGCGGGTGACATTTGGAATCTCCAAACTGTTGTCGGGTATAGTCTTCAATGACATGTTTCAACCTCTTTCCTTAAGGTGGTGAACAAATGGTTCGCTCTTCAAGCAATGTCTGACATTCCTGGTAATGTTGAGAATGTCCGGAATCTCTTGAACCATCCAGCATTTGATTTGCGTAATCCAAACAAGGTAAGCGCTCGCTCCAGGGATATAAGTGTGTTCATCCTCAGCTGCATTCTACATGCATGTTGACCTCTTTTAGATTACTAACCAATCTGCTTTTTCGTGTGATAAGGTATACTCGCTCATTGGCGGGTTCTGTGGTTCTCCTGTGAACTTCCACGCAAAGGATGGGTCAGGCTACAAGTTCTTGGGAGAAGTTGTGGTGCAACTAGACAAGATAAATCCTCAGGTTGGTTTGAAAAACCGTGTCTCATGTGACGGTATGCTAAGATATTTCTGCAGCCTAGGTAACTTGCTTATCCACATTCTCTTTATAAATTTTAGGTTGCATCCCGCATGGTCTCTGCCTTCTCAAGATGGAAACGCTACGATGAGACGAGGCAGAACCTTGCTAAGGTACGGAGTTCCTGTCATGGATGCTATTTTCTGTACCCTCTTTTTCTTCACTTGCCAATTTCGTTCATCGATGCTGTTTTCCGTGCCTCTTTTACAGGCACAGTTAGAGATGATCATGTCTACCAATGGACTGTCCGAGAATGTTTTTGAGATCGCCTCGAAAAGCTTGGCGGCTTGAACATCATGTCTACTTGGTGTTCACGCGGTCGCTCCTATGGTGATGAGATGCAAGCATCAATATGTGGCATGTCCTCGAGAAAGAACCATCATAATAAGTGCTTAATCTCTCTGCCCGGCGGCGGAAATTATGTATGTGGATGTGTTATGAAGGGACAGTTCCGGAGACTCTGGCTGGGTTGATTATTATTACATATTCCATATGCACTTTTAGAAGAAAGAGGAGCAACATAGAGTGAAACGCTCACTTAAATTCCATTGTCCATTGCCAAATATTTCAGGACTTGGTCAGCAAGAAAACAGAAAGAAGATATGTTGCTTAAGAAAAACTTTCCTGTGCTTAAAGAGATTAGTTTTAAAAATAGACAGCAAATCGAAAATTGATTATTCATTGATCAACTCAGGCTCGAGACAATGAATATTTTAGGTCTAATTAATCATTTTACCGTTTGATCAACCTGCGACTGTTCGATTTTTTCCAAATGAAAGTCGCATTTTCTTGGACACGTGCTTCCAAATTTTTTGCTCAAAACAAGTGTTACAGATGTTTGGTATATTCTTGAAATTACGAAATTGTAATTTGTTTCGAAATTACAATGAAAATAAGTTTGTTGTGTGGTCTCTGGATTCACAGTAAGTTCTTCCACTAGCATTTCCCAAAACGGGCACTTCTACAAATTCCTGGGAGGTCAAGGATTCGAAAATGTAAAAGATCACCTGTCAAGAGGCGGCGAGTCTCTTTGGCAATGAGTCTCTTTGGAAAGAAAGGTTAAGGATTCGAACTTGGAGCCTCAAAAGTAAAATGGAAAAATAACGATTCAAGAAAATCACTAAACCTTCTGTCTTATTTAGCGAAAATAAGAAAATTCGGCACTCATCTAAATAGATGCATTTGCATTCTACTATGAGCACGGATCATATCATAATAACTCGTATCTGAACCAACAAACAATCTAGGTAATCAAGCAAAATAGTTACTACTTCCAAATTGAAACTCTTCCCTTAATGGCACGCATTTAAAGCTTGCTATTTGCATTTCTGTGCAAATCATATTGATCGCTCTCCCTGCATCAAATACAGAATCCTCCAAATAAGCTGGGTTTTCGCTCGAGCCCTTAACCTTTGATACACTTCTTAGAAAAGTTAAAACCAATAAAGTTTTCGAGCCGAAAGGGGGAAGAAAAGACTAGCTCTTGAAGAAAAAACAAAAGGGGCTAAAGGATAACCACAGTAGTTGAAAATGGTGAATAATGTCTCCGCCACTCGTCACCCAACTCAGCTGACTCGCTGTAAGGGGGAACAAGTGAAGTATATGGAAACCCTGCATTTAAGTTGTGGAGAGCACATTGATCTTTTCCCCGTTTTGGAGATAGAATGTGGGAAGATAAATTGGACGAGAGAGAGCCAGAGATGGTGTGCAAAACTGGAGCTGAAGGTCATGAAGAAGATGATGCTCTGCATAAAGTTTTTTCTTGTCAGAAAGATGAAGGTGGTTACATGCTGAGAAGCATTTTTCAAGTGCTAAAGGTAATTGAACATTATTGACTAAATTCGTTTGTTGTTCTTTATTTTGTGCTATTTGTATACTGTCGATCTTGATTCTTGCCTTTACTCTTTAGCAGTACAGTTTTTTTAATTTGAAAAGAAAATCTTTGATCATTCTTGTTCATGGGAAAATTTCGACATCTTACTTCTATTCTTTGCAAAGTAATATGATCGTTTGGGTCCTCGAATCCATGCCATCGTTGTTGATAGTGGCGAAGGCGGAGTTCTAATAGTTGTCGAATCATACTCATCAAATTCCTGGTTTGTTCTGTTGAAATGGAAATAGGGAAAGTTTAATAAGGGCATAGGTTATTTCTTACACCTATCCATCATGTGACTTGAATTAATGATGCCAAAAGTTTTATTGCAGTCTGCAACGATTTTCGCCGGTTCAATTTTGCTGTCTTGATATTTCATGGCGTTGCTCGGTTTCATCAGCTTACTGCGAAAGTGATAAGCTCCGGTAGTGTTATGTCTGAACCATTTCGATTGAGATTGATTAGTTGTTCCACCGGGAGTATGCGATGTCTGGGATGGATTTTAAAGAGAATCTGCTCTATGCTCTTGATCTTTTTGTTAATTTTATTGTGGCTTCAACTCATGTTTGATGATTGATTCATTGTGGCATCTGATAATGCACGCTTTCTCAAATCTCAAGAAGATCGACTTTAGGGCAGACGAGAAATCACGTACTCATAAAGCTGCATAAGCGCAAACTCTAGCTAGGATGGCCCTGAATGTGATGTCCCCGGGATTCGAAATCGGATGCAACCTGAAATTTCAGCAGAGATGGGAGTTCAGGAATGGCAACGACGACTTGTCGAGCGACGACGACAAGTCCAATTCGAGCCGTCATCGAGCATCAGAGAAGAACGAACTGGTCCACGAACAGATCTCTCTAGGAGATGACGAGTCCAGCTATTCTAGGAGGCCTCAGGAGAAAGAACAAGCGGTGTGCCCTGATGGAACAGATCAGGCCAATGAGAAAACCAAGAAGGTGAAAACTAGGCGTAAGAAGGATAATTCAGTAAGGGAAACAAAGAAGAGGCTAGCCAATACCGGAGCCAGTACTAAGAAGCGAAAAGGCATTGCTTATGATCCTTCCATTGTGAGCGAGCTTCGAGCATTCACAAAGTCAGTAGTGCAGGAGCTCGAAGATGAAAGGATAAAGATGGCTGCGTGGATGAGGGAGGAGATCGACAAGATGGTGTCTGGAGACGCTTCAGCGCGCACATCGAGGAAGGACGGCACTTGCAGCGGAGACAAGACCGAACCAGCACTGAGCCATGACCACGCGGAGAACGATCAGAACCAGCATAGGAAGAGCTCTGCAAAGGGTGTTGTCCTGGCTCTTCAAAGCGAGAGGCATAAGACTCGGACGCACCGTGGACGAAACAAAAGAGAGGAATTGCAATCGCAGCATCAGAACAGCATCGAGGAGAATGTGAAGATGAGGGGTCGGACTCGTGTCAATGATGATGCCGGAGCACAGAAGCTGAAGCCGACCAAGAAAAGGCAAAGCAAGGGCAGGGATTCCGCGCAACCAGCCAAAAGGAAAAAGGGGTTGGATCCCTCAACTTGTCCTAGACCAGCTGAAAATCACGTAAGCAATGGTCGTGGTTCGAAATCGACGACCAACGACAAAGAAGTCCCGGGAACTAACCAGCCGATACAATCTTCTGATCCCTCGAAGAGCAATCTCCAACTCCAGCCGAGCAAACTTGACCTGAGCAAGGGTGCTCTGGATTGGAACATTGGGTTCCTGGAGAGACCTTTAGCAAGCAAAATCGCACCTGACTCGAGCAATCGCCAGGTGACTCCCGATAATCGAGCCAATTGCAGGACAGTCGAAAAGGAGAACGGGCAAAACTCGGGCTTCCTTTCGCAGATCAGCAGCTTGTCCGATCACTCGAATCCCACAGGTTCTCCAATATGCTCGATGTTCCCTACCATCTCGAAAGTCGATGCTCTGAGCGAAAACTGCATGCTCAGGATCAATCCTGTCCAGTCGAGATTCTCTCAAAGAGAGGCCCTGAATCCAGCAGGAAGACTCGGGAGCCTTGCTCAGGCATGTCCTAGAAAAGAAAGCTCTTCAAACCGCGGCGGCGCCTCCGAACCGACCACGCAGGCTAGGCTTCCCATGACACTCTATCAGGGCATGGATGTGAGCTTCGGTAACGACCAGCTTTCGAGCTTGGAGAACTTGCTCCGTGCGAACGAGAGCGCGCTAGGACTGAGACTGAGCGGTGGAGCGATGTGGAGCAACAGGCACGGTTTTTCGGAATATCACGTTCCTAACAACTTCCTCGGCCTCATGCGTCCTAGCTCGGACGGTCGGCTCGCCGCATTTCAGAGCCCAGATCCTAAAGGAGGTTGTTAATTCCCACACGATGGAAATTTGTTCTTTCACGAAGCAGAAGTATTGATGAATAACAACTTCAATCTACAAGTCAAGAGACATTTGGTTTTCATCTTTAGGTGAAACGGTGCGATGCAAACAGTACAATTCGTATACATTTTGTGTTCATCTTTAAGTTTCTGAACTGAACTAGAGGTGATCTTTCAACAACCTAGAATTGGAACGGGGAACTTAACTCACTCATACCCACCTATCACCAAAAATGTAAAACATAAGATTTATCGAGTCATGACCTAGCTCGGACTTAATCGGATCCCGCGGTTCTTGTTCTTATCAACCGAATGCACTTCATTCAAGTCCGCCCCCGATATCGATATCATCCGTCCCGGACAAGCTCATGGGTCGTCAGGCTCGTGATCAGATCTTATCCGCACATAGCCTTCGAGTCAGCTCGGGAACGACTAACATTTAGACATCAACAAGTAGTACGGATTGGCCTTTTCGGCCCCGGATAGAATTGTCTTTCCTACGTCCTTTTTTTTTTTTTTGGGTCCCTTTTCTATCGTTCTTCATTATTTGAAATGCCAATTTGTCAAATTTTTAAAGATTTCAGGGGGGGTTGTTTAGGGTTAGGCACAAGTCAAATGTCAATTTGCGTATTTTCAAAGATTTTGACGCGACAAGTTGACGTTTCGTTTCAATTCGGGGGCGAAACGTGCCCCCTTGGGTCCCGGTTTTGACGACGCTGACGACACGAACCGAATTATGGACAAATACGTATTGCGAAAATAAATAAATTTAAAAAAAAAAGGAAAAAGAAAAATACGGAGATGGGTTGACGACGAGAGCAAGTGACCGGAAGAGACGTACGGATAAGGTCCACTTACCGGCGACTGCCGGTGATTTCGTTTCAATCATTAAAGCAATTCAATCCTTTCTTTCTTGTAACCCACGTGAGCCCGTGGAATTCACGGCGCCTTCCTTGGGTGTCGGCTGCCTTTCTTTCTTTCTTCTTTTTATTATAGTAATAACAATAATTGCCATGATCCAGCTATTAAGTTGTCTTTTTTTATTCGTGAAATGTCTAGTCATATCTTTTCATTAATTCAAGTTCGACAACAATATTGAAATTTTTTTATAGAATTTAGGAATTAAGTTGAACATGAACCAAAATTTCAGGGACCAAATTGAATAAACTAAAAGTTCAAGAACCACATTGCACATTGAGTTAAAATTCACGAACCACATTGAACAAATTAAAAACTCAAAGATCACATTACACATTAGGTCAAAGTTCATGGACCATTTACCCTATTTTCTTTTACGGGTAATGCCCTCCCCGATCAGGCTACCGATCGATAAGATAATAACGTGAATATGCCACAAAAGCAAAAACTAATGGTTAAGCCGAATGTCGACTTACTAGTGAATCGGTAGAGTCAGCTCGGGCAGCTCGCACGTCGATCGGACGCGAAAGTTAAACCTATTCAAATACAAATTGCTTTTCCTTTGGTCGAAATTCAAAAACAAATAGTTGCCAACTTTTAATGGAACAACCGAATTTCTATTGCTTTGAGTGGTCGAATCTTGTAGTGACTTTTGATGAGTTTGAGTTTTTGAGTATTCAAATCATTAAAATGATGATGGGGGATCGAGCCTTTGGAATCGGCAGACAGTTCCAACTTTGTTACTACCTTTTTTCTTGTCCTCCTTTCTTTCGTTCTTTTTTCTTCTTTCCGGTCATTTTCTTAACCACCGTCCTTGTCCTTACGCGACCGGCTAAACGGAGGAGGAAAAAGAACAAACAGTTGATTTGCACTTGCTCTCGCTCTCTCTCTCTCTCTCTCTCTCTGAGTCTGAAGCTGCGATGCGTGGTGCTTCTTGAAATCTGCAGCGGTCGGGGGGAAACGATGGAGCTCCGGGGAGGCTGGCGGTTGATCTCTGCGGCCGCCGTGATCTGGCTGGCGTGCGGCGGCCCCCGTTCCGCGAGCGCCGGCGACATCGTCCACGACGACGAATCCGCTCCGAAGAAGCCCGGTTGCAGCAACCAATTCGTCCTGGTAACTCATAATGTTGCTCCCCCCCCTCCCCCTCCCCCCTCCCCCTCTCCTTCGCGGTTCCTTGTTCAGTCCGATTGGAACTTGCTTGATTTGGCGATCTTTTTGAGCTGGTCGCCGTTCGCGGTCCGGTGCGGTGTTGACTGGGTCTTGCTCGATTCGCGGTGTCGGAACTGGTCGCGGGTGCTTGTCTGGTGGATGGGTGACCGAGTCAATGCTCAGAAGTTGGGGTTGGAATGTGCTTCGCTTGATTTCTCTTGCTTGATTGTATGCAATAGAGGGGCTGATTATAGCAATCATTGATGCTTGGAGCTAATATTTAGTCATGAGGATGATGGAGCTGAAGGAGTTAATAGCTTAGGGAAATTTTACTGCTTTGGGCACAATTACGCAGAGATGTGAACTGCTTCAGCTCGTTATCCGTGAAAGTTTGTTTTCGATGTTTCTTTTCTTTGATGTGATTTTCTGTCAGTTTGGTTTTTGGTGTCTTTCTGAAGAGATTTCCCCAGAAGTATTACCCCAATTTCTGCCTGCCCTCATCATTGTTGAGCTGCAGTTGGGGAAATAGCTCGTGATTTTAAGCTGGGTATCCTCTTAGGGTATATGTAGGTTATAAGTTGGTAAATTTGGAATTATTTCTCATTTTAAAGCAAAGTGTTACTATGATTGCCTTTCTAGTGTCTGATTCATAATGATTCTGTCAGGTTAAAGTCCAAACCTGGGTTAATGGACTTGAGAGCAGCGAATTTGTTGGTGTTGGTGCTAGATTCGGTAAACCGATTGTGTCGAAGGAGAAAAATGCAGACCATTCGCACCTTACTCTATCAGATCCTCGTGATGGTTGCGCCTCGCCAAAAAAGAAGGTACCTCTTTTAGGTCGTCTCAAAGCTCCAGAGACTCACAAGTAACCCTACTTACTTTTGAAGATGTATTGTTGCATCGTCAGTATGACTGACTTATAATTTCAATATTGTTAAGCTCACTGGCGATGTTATCATGGTGGATCGAGGCAGCTGCACATTTACTACAAAAGCAAATAATGCAGAAGCTGCTAATGCATCAGCCATCCTAATTGTGAACAACCAAAAAGGTAATTGCGGCTATATTTTGTCAAAAAAGTTAATACTTGTTCTTGCTATCAAGCATGAGTTTCTGGTAATGAAGATTATGTGGGTGACATGAAAATTGGAACTTGGACAAAGATAAATGCTGCTTCCTGCCTGCCTATAGAAACCAAATCTTTTTTAACTTGAGCATTCCATTGGCCATTGAGATGAGTCGGTCTAGTATGTGGCTCTGTTCACCACATTAATGAAGCTGTTTCTTTTCCACAACAGAACTATACAAGATGGTTTGTGATCCCGATGAAACTGATCTGGACATAAAAATACCAGCGGTCATGCTCCCACAGGATGCTGGTTTAAGCCTGCAGAAAATGCTGATGAATAGTTCATTGGGTAAGCGATTTTTCTTCTGAATTAGCTGCATGTCTAATGTCAGCTCTTTTCTGCAATAAGGTTCCATACCTTGATACAATCTGAAAATATATAGATAACTTCAGCTGTACAGCATTTATTTACCTGCAGAAGTTTCTTAGTCATGCCCAGTGGCGGATGCCTAGGGGGGGCCAGTGGTGGCTCCCGCTCCCTAGGTCCAAAAATTCCTTATAGTATTAGTAACAATTCCCCCTCAGACCTCAAATTCTCAATCTGCCATTACACATACCTTCTAGTTCTCTTTTATCTTTAAAGCATAGCTTGCTCAATATGCAGATTGTTTGCTAAACATTCAGATTGTTTGCAGTGTCTGTGCAGCTATACTCTCCTACTCGTCCTTTAGTTGACATAGCTGAAGTATTTCTATGGCTAATGGCTGTTGGTACCATCCTGTGTGCCTCATACTGGTCTGCATGGAGTGCTAGAGAAGCAGCTATCGAGCAGGATAAGCTAATGAAGGTTGTTTTCTGATTTGGTGCTGGGAAACAATGTACACCAGTACTGTCCTTTGGTAGATGCTTTTCCCTCTGATTCAATGGTTTACCTTCTCTGCGTTTGTCAATCTTGTAGGATGCTGGGGATGAACTTACAGATGACAAACATGTGAACGCAACTGGTGTTGTAGAAATCAGCACAACTTCAGCCGTCCTCTTTGTCATCATTGCTTCGTGCTTCTTGATTGTTCTCTACAAACTTATGTCTTCCTGGTTCATAGAACTTTTGGTGGTTCTTTTCTGCATAGGTGGTGTAGAGGTATAACTTTTTGGTTGACATCCCCTGTTATTACAAATTTGCTTATTCATCATTGTGCCTGCTAAGCTAATGACAGACCAGGCCCTCGATAGTTCTAGTTTGTGCCATTTTACTAGAGGCCAATAGCTCATGATGCAGCTCCAGTATTTACTTCATCTTTTCGGATTGTCGTCCTTCTGTGTGCATACTCTTTAAGTGCATATCTGACATAGTAGCTGCTTTGGTGTGCAGGGCTTACAAACTTGCTTGGTTGCTTTATTGTCAAGGTAGTTCCTTCTTTGACACGTGTGGTCCTGCATGTTTTGATAATTTAGATTCATAAGCTCATCTTTCTCATACTCAGTCGACCGTAAGGATAATTTATCTTGCGCATTTGGCTTAATCGATTGGTATAAGGATCGACATATTGTGCCTTACCTAACAAAAGATGTGATACAACGTATTTGGAACCGCTGGTTCCTGAATTCTCGAACTAGCCGGTTCTGGTCCGGTTCCCAGTTCTGTACGGGGACTGTTGCTTTTTATGTATGGGGCCAAATTTCTATAATAGAATATAAAAGTTGCATTATTTCGCTATAAAAACATTTGTTAGTCAATTGGTGATGTTGTTGTTTGTTATGTTAAAGACCCTGGTTTAATTCTGCGGAAATCATTTATTTATGTTGAATACCATGGTAACCTTATTTAATGTGCATTTGTTGTGCTGAACAAACATAAAAACTTGTCAATGGAAGCTGTAAAGCGAAATTGGGCGAGATTTGAGAATTCAGCTAAAAACAACGTTCAATAGGGAATTGGTATTCG